ATATATATATATATATATGTATAAATATATGTATATATATATATATATATATATATATATGAATGTATATATGTATATTTATATGTATATGTATATGTATATATGTGTATATATATTTCTATGTATATATATGTGTATATATATATACACATATATACATATACATATACATATATATATATATGTACATATATACATATCTATATATACATATATAGTTATATATATATATATATATAGTTATATATTAATAATAATAATAATTACATAAATAAGTGACTGAAAATATAATGATTTTCTGCATAAATTGTGCATGTCAAGATCGTTTTTTTATTTGGAAATAAGAGGGAAACAAAATTTGAAGTTTCTCTTCCACCAATTAATCAAGTACAAAAGTGAGAGAGACTAAAATTAAAATTTCCTTCTTTCTGATAATGAACTATAATAAATTTCATGTGGAGAAGAGAAGTGAACGGAACATTTTATGTCCCCTGTTCGCTTTTATTAGTCAGGTATCTTATAGCCAAATAATCATTAAATTGGAGAGAGAGTAACAGAAAATATATGGCTATTCCATGTGATTTGTCTATCAATCCCTTTGCAAAACTTGCTATATGTTGTCATCTTGTAGCTTCTCTCGCTGCTCTAAACACCAGCATCTCTAAATCATTGAACCAATCACTGTATCGTTACATTTTTCTTGCCACCTCTCTCGTTATTTGTCTAATCCTTTGTTTCCAATGTGCCGTTCTCAGGAAGTGAGCTACGTGTCAGGCCACAAACGTAAGAGGACGCCACGTTGAAGATATTTTACAGTCGATTAAGACAATAACTTAGTTTTAAGCTTACTACGTTAATAATAATTATAATCATAAGCGAACGAGTGACAGCTAAAGCTTGCGCACAAAGAATTGACAACGTTTGCATAACGCCCGGCCCCTCCCGCTTTCCCAGAGACAGCTCACATGCCCGGTATGCCCTCCTTCTGTCCTCTAATGCACACTGATCGTACGTCCACTGCCACCGAATCGTACAAGAGGAAAGCTGCTGCAGACGCGTGGCGTCTTGAGGCAGTTGGATCGGCGTTGTGGGGTGGGCATATGTTGCTCCAACGACGACCGCTTTTTGATTTAACCGTTGTTGGGTCAACTAACTCGCATCCAACGGCTACTTTGGTTGAACTAACCAAGCCCTGAGCCCTAACACAAAACGTTACTAAACCCTGGAGTTGTATCTATTTACCGTCTCCACCCTAATTGGCTTCCTATAAGTACCACTCTGGCGTCGGGCAAGGATTACCAAATCGGCGAGCCGGCATCTCTCTCTCGAGAAGGGTAAGACATGGCGTCATCTTCTAGAAGATCCACCTGTACGGTGCTGACTTCGCGGCGATCGATCTCGCCGGGCGGCGGATCCTCCGCCTTCGCCTCCTCTTCTTCGAGCTTTGCAGCCTGGTCACACGCCTCATTCTTACACCACGACTACCAGCATCACCGTTCTGGCTCCCCCACCCGCGTCCACCTCCTGGGCACCGCCTATACACCGGCCCCGGGCGTCCGGTTCACCATCGACCGATCCACCTCACCCGGCCGCTCCCTCGCAACCGCGAACAAGCGCTCCTCGGCATCCGTCCACCGCACCTGCCTTTGCTCCCCTACCACTCACCCCGGATCGTTCCGCTGCAGCCTTCACAAGGGCCTCAGTTCCCGCTCCGCTGCCGTTTCCGCCCCGTCGAACTGCCTCAACGCCCGCCGTTCCGCGATGACGAACTCGCTGGTACGAATCGGGACCGTGGAGGGCGACTGGGTGAAGCGAGCACTTGCAGCCCTTATTCGCCCCTCCTCCCATCAGCAGCGGCGGAGGGTCGACTTCCAACCTCGTCCCAGCCGCCTATCTCGCATGTCTAAGGCCGACGATCCGTAGCTTCCTTCCGCCCTATTGACAGATCTGGAATCAGGTTCGTAAAAGAAAAAAAACGAAATCGTAAAAGCAATGTATCATAAACTTTTCCTCATCATGACCGCGAAAGTCGCCAGCTATCAGAGAACATCCTGGAGCTCGGATTTTTTTTTTACTACTTTTTTGTTTAAGTATTTTTTCAGCAAGAAAGGCAGGAAAAAGAACTGGGAGTGTGGCGGAGAACAGATCAGATCCGCCCATTTGTACATAATCTTTTGCGGCAGCCGTTGATGGCGCAAATCGAACAAAGGCATAGGAATTGAACTGTGAACACCACCCAAAACAAACGTCGCCGGCCGTTTGAGCGACGTCATCGCATCTTTTAAGGTGTTTGTTTTTGTCCCTTAAGGTAAAGTATTTTGATGCGGATTGTTTGATTTTTTTTATTATTCTTATCATTTATTTGTCTATAGCGGTCGACTTCAGTGTTGGGAATTGGACAACTTTAGGATGGAGAAGAACCAAATTGTAAATAACATTTAATTATATCCGAAAAATTTGTAGGTAAAAGGTGAAAAATCGGTGGCGACAAACTGGCGAAAAATTTTTATGTGGCGACAAACTGGCGAAAAATTTTTATGTGGCGACAAACTGACCACAAATGACTATAATTTAGTTTAAATTGTTTATACAACTGATGATCGAATAATTAGATACAAAATGTATGTTACTAAAAAGAAAGCTAAATATAAAACTGAAGCGGACACCATGCAAAAAATATTTGGATAAAAAAAAAATCCCAAGGATAATTTGGAACAGTCAAAGAAAAGGAATCCCGACCAACCTTTTTGAAGTGATGTGGGCTTTCAATTCAAAGGACAATTTTGAATACGAACGAGGACGACTTTCAGTACAATTATAAGTTTTTTTTATAATTTATTAAAAAATTAATAATAAAATTTTCTCTAATGATATTTTTATATTTAATTTGTATTAGAGGCATTTTTATTAAAATTTTACTAAAATCCTTGAATCGATTTAATTCAAGTCGGATTATTTGGCCTAGTTAGATTCTTAAGGGTTGGGTCGGATATGGGTCCAGTCAATTATGGGTCGACATGATTGAGGGTCGGGTCGGATATGGGTCCAGTCAATTATGGGTCGACATGATTGAGGGTCGCATTTGTTGCAAGTTGGATCTTGCACTTAAAACATAGGAATTACACTCGGGTTGCATCGAACAAGTGTAATCCTAATGTAGGCGACGACAGCGAGCTTTTGTCCTCTCCAGCAATTGCACTCGGTTCCTCTTTTCTCTGACTTCATCAACAATGATAGTACTTGGTTGTTTCCCTCTTCTTCGATGACAAAGAACTTTCGTCTTCTCCAGTAAATATCGACGGATGTTTTCTACTCTAGTTATTATCCACTAATATCTAATTGTTTAGGTGATTTAATGGTTGAATTGTGAAGATGGAAATCAATGTAGTGTAGTATTTTTTGGGCACTTCAATTGATATAATATAAATTTAATTTTGAAGATACAATTTGATATAAATTATCTTATGATGATGCAAATTATGGATTATGGATCATGCGCACTTCATGATGTTTGTTATTTGTCTCCCTATCCAATTGATCTGATTTTGCAATACCCAAGTTTCAAATCACAACTATCATGCCGATAGAAGCACAAGTAATATATGGTATTCTCATGTTATTAGTTTTTAAAGCTGAAATACATATTTGTTAGGATCGCACTAGAGGGAGAGGGTTGAATTAGTGCTTTTGAAAAATTATAATTTAAAAATTTTTATTCGAGGAAACCTATATCGAAAATACATTTAACTTAGAATGTGAGTAAAAGTAACTAAATCAATATGTAATTGCAAGAAAAAGCATAAATAGAAATGCAAACTAGATTTATAGTGGTTTGGTCGTCCCGACCTATGTTCAATCCCGATTCTTCTTCTCTCGAGGTCATTGGCTTTCACTACCAATCTTTTTTTAATGAGCGAAGATTAATCACCTTTTTTTACACTCATTTCTTCTTTTCATAAGCTCAGGAGAGAACCTTCATACATTTCTTTTACAAAAGACCTCACTCCTCCCTTAGAAAACTTATAAATCCTAGGAGGAAGAGACTCAACAATTCAAGAGAGATTATACACTTTTTTTTCTCAAGAATTCTTTTTCCTTTCTACTCTTTTTCTTACTATCCCAAGCAAGAATGAGTGTGGTATTTATAGGCCCCAAATGAATTAAAAAATAGAGGTAAAAATTCAAATGCCCGAGTTTTCGGGGTACTGACGGTACCATCACTTGCATTGGGCGGTACTATCGCTTGCCACCTTGTGCACTAGTGGTACTACCACCTAACATAATATGAGAGACTATATTTGGGTGGTACCTGTTATGATCAAGAACGACATTAAGAGGGGAGGGGGGGTGTGAATTACTGCAGCGGATAGAAATGACAAACTTAAATAACTTCGAAAAACTTCATGCAATGAAACTCTTAGTTCGACGAAAACGTTTTGAAAAGACGTTTGACTCGAATGAGTTTGCAAGTGAGTAGAGAGGAGGGGATTGGACAGTTTGTAATGAAGTAAAGTAGAATGCAGCAAAAGTAAAGTACACACCAAGAAGAGATCACGCTAATTTTATAGTGATTCAATTGTCCGACCTACATCCACTGCCGACACCTCCTCCAATGAGGTCACCAATTTCCACTATTGATCTTTCTTGAAGGGCAAAGACTAATCACCCCTTTACAAAACTTTCACAAGTGGCTTACTCTCTTTTTACAAACTTTCACAGTAAAAAACGATGAAGGTGAACTCTCAACTTTTCAAGCTATTTTACTATAGTTTCGGTTCATTTCTGATCACTTCTCTATTCTTTACCAGCTGAGAAGTAAGGGGTATTTATAGCCCTCAATTGACTTCAAAATTAGAGCAAAAAAATGTCACATCCTCGATTTTCAAGGTACTGGCGATACCACTGCTATTATTGTGCGATACTACCGCCTAACTCTCTGACACTAGACGGCACCACTGCCTAGTCTAGCAATATTACCGTCTGATAGAGTCACGAAAACTGGGCTCTAGTAGTACCACCGCCTAATAGTATTAAATTACCGACGGTACCATCTCCCAGACCTCCTGGGGGCTTAGTCTCAAGCGGTTCCACCACCCACCTCGAGCAGTGCCACCGCCTATCAGTAGTCACTTACGTTTGAGAGCATCATAGGCTCTACACATAACTCTCTTTCTATTTATGATAAAAGTGCATATATCCCACAAACACCAGAGTATAATAAGAACATTTTGATTAAGATGATAAGATATATTGAAGGCATATGTGAGATAATAATAGCATACATGTGCATGTATAAAATAATATCAAGCTAACGTTAATATATCAATTATAATAAGAATCAATGACTAAGAAATAAAAGAGAGTTTTAAATAAATAATATGAAACTTATTTGTGTTGAATCTTGGATTTTGATGTTGAAATCAATTGAAGAAGTTGTGATCTAATCATCATTTGAGTGACGTAGGACTAACTTCGATCATGGAAAGATAATTCGATTAAAGTAGGAAGAATCAAATGTTGTGCCGGAGTGGATCATGTCAAAAGATTGGATGTCAGGCCAGAGGACTAGTTGGCGTGCCAGAAGGACTTTGTGCCATGAGTTCGGGCATCAAGCCAGAAGGATCGGATATTGCGCTAAGAAGATCATATGTTGTGGGAGGTCAACATGCCAATGGTTGAGCAATATGCCGAAGGAAAGGACAATGCGTTGAAGGTTCAGACGAAGCACTGGATGAACCAATGACATGCACAACAACATAGGATTCTTGTTTGTAATCGATTATGCTTAGATTGAAGTAACCTAGGTTGTAATTGAGTTAGTTTTGGGTGTAACCATACCAACTCAATTAGGAGCTTATTAGGCTTGAGTTAGGATTGTTTTAGACTAAGTGGAAGGCTCATTCAGTGACCCATAGATGGGTTAGGTAGTGGAATTGCTTATGAGCTGGAAAAATATGAAATATACTTCTTTTGGAAGACCCGATGGTGGTGCCGCCCAAACATAGTCTCGCAGACTATGTCAGGCGGTGGTACCACCCATACTAGGTGGTGGTACTATCTAGTATTAGTCTAGCAAGCGGTGGTACCACCCAGTAAGGGCGGTAGTATCACTAGTACCCTTGAAATCGAGGATGATATACTTTTTGGCTTCATTTTTGGAGTCATTCAGAGCCTATAAATTCCCCACTCTTTTTTTGCGTAAGTAAGAAAAGAGAATGAAAACTGTGTTTTTGAGCATAAAAAACTCTATTAGAAAGTTGAATCCTTCCTCCTTATGCTTAGAGGTTATTCTAAGGGAGGTTGTAAGGATTTTCTTATAAAAGAGGTTTATAAAGGTTCTCTCTTGAGTCTATCAAAAGGAAAAAGAGTTGTAAAAGGATAGTTGATCTTCACATTTTGAAAAAAAATTGGTAGTGAAAGCCGATGGCCTAAAGTGAAGAAGAATTGGGAGTGGACGTAGGTCGGGACAACCAAACCACTATAAAATCTGGTTTACATTTACTTTATGCTTTTTATTTATTTTACAAACTGATTTACTTGCTCACTACTCTTACAAACGTTTTCAAGTTAAACATCTTTCCGATATAGGCTTTGTCGAATGAGTTTTCTAAATCGACATAATTTATATGATGATTTAAATTAGTTGGTAAAAAATATAAATTGTTAAAAAAGGATCATGCTTCTCTCTCTAATTAATTTAAAAAATTAAAAAATAAGTATGATAATTGCATGTTAACCTCTTGTACTCAATGTAAAGAGTTAGATTTAGTCAAAAAGGAAAATATGGTTCTACAAAAGAATTAGAAAATTATAAAATTGGTAGAAAATAATTAAACGTGATTCTTGCTAATAAATGTCATATATAAAAAAGGAAGTAATCGATTTTATGAGTAATTACTCAATAAAAGCCAACTACTTTTGTTAAAGGACCCACATTACATGTTACCCCTAAAATTAATTGTAATTTTTGTGATAGACATGCTCATTTTGCTTATAAATGTTCATTCAAAAAATATAGCTCACATAAATTAGTTTGGGTTCCTAAAGGAATCATGAATGACTGAATGCCAAAAATTAAGATATATAAATCTAACCATGAGGGACCCAAAGTTAAATAGGTACCTTGAATAAATCTATCTTTTTTATAGACATCTCTATAATCGAAAGCTAGGAGCAAGAGATAAAATCTTGATAATGGATGCTCAAGGTATATGATCGGAGATCCAACACACTTC